TATAGCTTAGTAGTAGAGCACCCCTGGGTTTAATCCCCTGTACCACAAGTAAATAAATAAATAAGATAAAATTTTTAAAAATAAATAGAGATAGATTAAGGAGGGGTCTCTGTAGAATGGAGGCAGGAGAGAAGTGGCTGGTGTCTGGCATATACTGGCATCTACCTACTCAGTGCCTTAGGGCCTGGGAAAGGCCACTCCAGGCCTGTTTGTGAACTGAGGATTCATATGAGGAAAGGAAAACAGGAGGACCTTGGGAAGGTGCAAGGAAGTGGCCACCTGGCAGGGGGACTATCCTGGGTCCACCAGAGGACATGGCTCACCCAGTGCCATTAGCCTGGGTGCCTTAGAGCAGCAGGAGCTGGCCTGCTGAAGGTAGGCTCGCTGCCTACCCCAGGGCTCCTACCCTTTCCTCTGGCCCCACAAACTTTGAGTAGCCTTGTTCTCCAAACTGGAAATGAAAGGTGAGCAAGACACAATCCCTGCCCTAGGAAGTGTCCAGGCTGGGGACACATCACAGGAGCAGCACAGGTCCAGTTGAGGAGCAGTGGAGGCTGGTGTAGGGGGGACCCCCCAGCTGGGAGACCTGGAGGCTGTCAGGGGCCATACCAGCTACAGACAACATCCAGGACCCTGCCCCATAGAATAGATAGGACTGTGGCAGGCACATCCTAAGCCAGGGAAGAACGGGGAGCAGCAACAGATGGAAAAGCAGGGTCACGCAAGGAGTAGCCTTGCAAATCTTGGGAAGTGCCACATTGTCATTTGGCTTTATACAAAGAACTTGGCTTGTGTGGCGGGTGTGCATGTGTGTGTGTGTGTGTATACATGTGTGTGTGTCAGAGGAGTTATATGGAACTGGGGATGCCAAGCCCAATTAGGAAACTCTTTGGGGTCCAGGTGGGAGACAGACTCACAGAGAAGGGCTTAGAAGGGTAGAAGAGACTGGGAGACCCCAGGGCCCACTTGGGAGAGTAGAGAGTTCCTTTCTGGGCTCCCGGCTGGATGCAGGGGCTGTCCAGGCTCTTGGTAGAGCCCTAGGAAGGGTAAAAGAGCAGCTGGGGCCTGTAAAGGGTCATCCAGGGAGTGTGTGCAAATCCATGGAAAGGGTCACCAGGTCACCCAGAGGGACCCAGGGAGGCTGTGACCAGTCAGCCAGGGGAAAGGTGGCAGGAAGCCACCACCCAAAACACTTTCTGGTTTGTGAATCCTCAGATTGGGGGAAAGCGTGCTTCAGGTGATGGACACGTGGACATGTGCTGAGCCTTGCAGTGTGTGGGTGCCTGCTTACTGCTCCCGTGCCCTGCCTGCCTGGGCTTTGGGGCACACGAAGCTGTGGGGCTTCCCTCCCAGGACTGAGCTGCAGAAGGTGTGGAAGCAGCCCTGCAACCTACCTGCTTGCCCTGGGACAGAGCTCCTGGGTGTCCTGATGGAATTAAGGAGGCCACAGCCTTCCAACCCCAAGGGGCCTGAGGGAACGTCTGCCCAGGAGAAGCCTGCCCAAGAGACCCTCCACACCCCTTCCTGTCCCACTGAGGGAGGTCTCCTGCTCTCTTCTTCCTCCTGACAGCCCAGGGCATCAAGGAGAGAGAGATAAGAAAAGGTCCCTGCAGGACCACAGCAGAGACGCTAAGAAACCGCGCAAGGATGTGTGAGCCCCCAGAGACCTAGGCCTGTGGCACTGGAAGCCCAGAGCATTTTTTAGCTAGGTTCATATAATCCCTGCTAATCAGTAGGTCAGATTCTCTTTCATCTTGCTCTGGCACTTTCTCCCACTCAGAATGCCATGCTTAACATACAGCAGGCGCTTAGCACACCTACGTCAGATGGCAGGTGGAGAAGAGAGTGACCTCCATGGACCACAGGGCCCACATCCCCCCCACCCAGCAGGCAGTGACTGGATACCTGGCAGCAGAGGCTGCATGCACTCAGGAACAGAGGTACCACTCATTCATTCCTGCATCTCCAAGCCCAGGCTGTCTGAAGGCCATCTGCCTCCCTTGAATCCCAGCCCCCCACACCGACAACCTTCTCACAAACTCCAGCCCTCCTCAACTGCCCTTCCACAAAAATACCACCACTTTCCTCCTCAGCCTCAGTTTCCCTGTTTGTAGGAAGAATCACGGAACACTAGGCAGCTCCAACATTACACATGAGCCAATAGCGGCCAGCATATATTCCCTGTAGCCCTGAGTGGCCATGGGCCCAGGCTGGAGGCAGTGGAACTGGCACAGGCAGAGTGTGCACTGCAGGCCACTGGCCTTGAGACAGTTCCAGAAGAGGCAGCCCTACACCTGGGCCTTGCAGGTTCCTGGAGTGAGGGGTGGCAGAGGGGACGGTGAGAGCAGGTTGCCACAGGCAGAACAAGAGTTGCACTGGGGGGCGGGGTGGTGGTCTCCACATGGGTCCCAGGCCCAGGACCAGGTAACTTCTGTTTTGCTGCCTTCTTGCAGCCCCATGATTATTTTGAGGTCCTGTTACATTAGTTACTACTTATCCACAGGGATACACTGCAAGACCCCCAGTGGATGCTGAAACCATGGATGGTACCATGCCCTCTCTAAACCATGCTTTTTTTTTTTCCTGTATAAACTTATAAACCTGTGATGACATTTCATGTTTCAGTAAGGTACAGTAAGATATTAACAATTAATGCTGAAATAAAGCAGTTTGTAACAATACACTATACAGAAGTTAAGCAAATGTGGTCTCTCTCAACATATTGGTAAGTTTTCCTTTATGAGCTGTGGACCTCATATTTTTCTGCAGTCTGAGGTATTACAGGAAAGTTACCATGTGTTTCTTTTTCCTTCTTCTTAGCAACCTAAGCATACTCTTTCTTTCCTTTCCTTTTCTTCAGATTGAGAACTTGCTCCTTTTCACATACAAGAGGCATTTAATAAATACCTTCTCTTTGGCATATCCAAATTGCCAGCTTCACTGCTCTTGCACTTTGGGGCCATTATTAGGTAAACAAGGGTAACTTGAACACAGCATTGTGATATTGCAACTGTCAATCTGATAACCACGGTAGCTACTGAGTAACTAATAGATGGGTAATGTGTACACGGTGGTTTCACTGGAGGAAGGGATGACTCACACCCTCGCAGGACTAAGCAGGCTCCTGTGAGATTTCTTCACACTACTCAGACCACTGTGTTGTTTAAACTGGTGAGTTCTTTCTTCCTATCTTTCCTTCTTCTTCTTCTTCTTCTTCTTCTTTTTTTTTTTTTTTTTGTGGTGTGTGTGTGCACGCAACCCAGGGTTGCTTTCCCACTAAGCTTCATCCCTAGCCCTTTTTATATTTCAATTTGAGTCAGCAGCGTGCTAAGTTGCCCAGGGTTGGTCTTGAACTTGCAATCCTCCTGCCTCAGTTTCCTGAGCCTCTGGGATTTCAGCATGTGCTACCATGCCAAACTATGACTTATTTATTTCTGAAAATTTCCACTTACTATTTTCAGACTGTGGTTGACCATGGGTAACTGAAACCTCTGATAAGGGAGCTACTGAATTGCTAATTGAATTCTGTGGGATGGACATGGCATGGCTTTTCATCTATCTACCTGTTGATGGACACTTGGGTGCCTTCCATTTGAGGCTATCACAAGAGCACTGCTGTTACCTTTGTCTTGTCTTAGTGCAGATATGGGCTTCTCTAGGGGAGGGACCCAGTGACTCGGTGGGAATACGCCTAGCTTCTGGAGTTGCTGCCAGCATGCTCTCTAAGGGACACACTGTGTCACCACCTCCTCCTTGCTGTTCTCTGACTCTGCAACTCCAGCTGTTTCTTGGTATAAGTGGAGCCTCTGCTGGTTCTGGTTTGCACTGCTCCTTGCCAAGGAGTGTTGAGCATGTGCTTGTAGACCCTTGTGCACTTTTTAAAATTTCACATATTTATGATACACAAATACATCATTTAATGTTCAAACCAGGGCTTTTGGCATATCCATCACCTTAAATAATTATCATTTTTTGTAGTAAAAACATTTAAAATCCTCTCTTTTAGCTCCCCCCTCAACCTGGGGAGTCGAAACCCAGGTCCTCATGCATATCAGACAAATAAATGTTCTATAGCTGAGACTCATCCCCAGCCCCTCTCTTAGCTATGCTTAAATATTCGATGACTTTTGCTCACTGGGCTCACCCTGTTGTACATGTTGTCACTCATATGCGGAAGCTGAAACATCTGTTCTCATAGAAGTGGACCAGAGGCCGGGACGGGAGGAAGAAGGGCATTAGGGAGAGGCTGGTCAAAATTGCAGTAAGACAGCAGGATGGCTCTGGTGGCGGCTGTGGAGCCCTCTGCACACTGAAATAAAGCAGTTGTAACAATATATTATACAGAGCCATCCTGCTGTCTTACTGCAATTTTGACCAGCCTCTCCCTAATGCCCTTCTTCCTCCCGTCCCGGCCTCTGGTCCACTTCTATGAGAACAGATGTTTCAGCTTCCACATATGAGTGACAACATGTGCTACTTGCCTTTCTGTGCCTGGCTTATTTCGCTTAACATGATGATCTCCATTTCCATCCATGTGGCCAATGACAGGATTCCCTCTTTTTAAGGACTGAACAGTCTTTCACTGCGCATACTACAGAGCGATAATAACCCAGATAGCATGGTATTGGCATGAAAACAAACCCACACAATGCAGCAGAGCAGAGACCCCAGGGATAAACCCACATATTGACAGCCGATGATTTTCAACAAGGCGCCAAGAACGCATACTGGGGAAAGGACAGTCGTTCCAATAGATGGTGCTGGGGGACTAGAGATCACCTGCAGAGGAAGGAGACTAAACCACACCAAAGACAAACATGAGACCTGAAATGTCAAACCACTGGAAGAAAACGGGAAACGCTTCCCCATCTGGTCTGGGCAGGACGCCCCACCCAGGCCGCCAGAACCGAGCGCTCCTCCCGCTCTCCTAGGCTGGTGGCGGCGCGCCCTCCCCCAGCCTCCTGCCAGCCCCGACGACCCCGTCCCTCCTCTCTCCGCAGCCACACGGGAGTCGGCCTTCGTCCACGCGATTGCTTCCGCCGGCGTGGCCTTCGCGGTGACGCGCTCGTGCGCAGAGGGCTCGGCCGCCATCTGCGGCTGCAGCAGCCGCCACCAGGGCGCGCCCGGCGAGGGCTGGAAGTGGGGCGGCTGCAGCGAGGACACCGAGTTTGGCGGGATGGTGTCTCGAGAGTTCGCTGATGCCCGGGAGAACCGGCCGGATGCCCGCTCCGCCATGAACCGCCACAACAATGAGGCCGGTCGCCAGGTACGTCCCCGGGATCAAGGGTCCTGGGGCAATGGGGGCTTCCTCAGCAGGGCAAGCGTCTGTCGGGCAGTACGGCGGGCGGGGCGGGGGAGGGCTGCCTGCGGTGCCCAGACTGGAGGTCTGTCACATCCTGTCCAGCAATGCCTGAAGGTCAGCACTGTCCACCTGCGCTCCAAACATCCCCTGCATGCCTATGGGATGGCGAGGCCACCTGTGTGTGGGGTCACTGGGAGGAGGGAGGCCTTCATGATCCCCTGTGCCATCCAGGGAGAAAGAGAGCCAGGCAGGGGAGTCTGCAACCAGGACATGCACACGAGGTGACCATTCACCAAGGGGAGGGAGACAAAGACAGGAGGACAGGTGGTGGATGGATAAGGGCAAGCAGATATTCATGAGAATGTGAAAAACAAAAGAGGAAAGACAAGAACAAAACGTTGAAAGCTTCCACCTTTTGCCTGGAGGTAATAGGGTCTTGCTGTTTGCATCAAGGTTTCAGGAAGAAAGACAGAAGCCTGAATTTTCTTGTGCAGAGGGCTATTTTCACTGCTCACCCTCTTCAGAGAGTAAACTTCCAGACCATGAACACTCCATGTCTAGTAGACCCAGGAATGAAAGTGTATTTTAAAAGTATTTTATACCCATTGGCTCCCATTGTCCATCTTCTTTTTTTATATATATTTATTTTTTAGTTGTAACTGGACCCAATACCTTTATTTATTTATTTTTATGTGGTTCTGAGGATCGAACCCAGGGCCTCACACATGCTAGGCGAGCGCTCTACTGCTGAGCCACAACCCCAGCCCTCTGTCTAGCTTCTTGTAGCCAGGAGCAACCTCTTTATGTGGCAGGAGTGTGGGGTGTATTTCAAAAAGGGTGAGCAGGGGTCTCTGCCTGAGGGACACTAAGCACAACTGAGGGAGAGTTGCCAACATGAAAATAGTGTCCGAATGTGACGTTCAGACCTTCATCTCTCTCCTGAAACCCCAGTTACAGGAGCAGATCTTCATTAGCTTCAGGCAGGAGGATGGAAGAGTCTCTCTGGTAATGCAACCCACCCAGAAGAAAAGGCTTAAGATACTCATGGGGGAGTCCCTAACAAAATAAGGCAGCCGATCATACTTCAGTGAGCATCAAAGTTGACGCACCCCCACACACACATGAGGATTTCCACCAAGCTACTCAGTGTACCACTTTCAGTGTGTGCAGACAGCCAGGGATCACCAGACACGTAAAGAAAGCCTCTGCTACCAACAATAGTTAAGAGTAAAATACACGAACAAGAACAGAACTTAAGGGAAAGAGTATTGTAAGGAGAGAAGAGAACTTCAAAAAACTGTCAGTATCTACAAAGAAACAATACACCATATCCATGACATTGGAATAGGATGTAAATTTAAATAAAAGTCAGAGGGAAAAAAAGAGCTATTTGTAATATAAAATATAAATTTTAAAAATTCAGAATATCTTAGCAGGGCATGGTAGCACATGTCTGTAATCCCAGTGACTTGGGAGGTGGAGACAGGAAGATTGCAAGTTCAAAGCCAGCCTCAGCAAAAAGTGAGGTGCTAAGCAACTCAGTGAGACCCTGCCTCTAAATAATATACAAAATTGGGCTGGGATGT